CCCCAAAACCCCAAAACCCCAAAACCCCAAAACCCCGAGTAGGAAAATATAATTTAAATAGAGAATAATTCCATTAATAAATAAATAATCAACTGTTTCATAATTTTTACTTACTGTAGCTTAATAAACATCTTTTCAATCAAGATTCCTAGTATTAAGTTTTTGATTATTTGAGCCATCTTTTGATTGGACTAGCCTCCTTATCTTAATTGAATTTAGATCTGAGAGGAGATGTTTCTTTTAGCTTTGAGTTATTATAATTCATACTCTGCTATTTAGATTTGGAGTGACTGAACTCACTCTTGAGCTGCTTTTCATTTGAGCACATATCCTTGATTACGACTATATTGTCCTTTTTGCTTGAGAGTTCTACCTTAAATTAAAAGCCAATCCCTTCACTGGCATCTCCATCTTTAGTTGCCTAAATTCCTTAGCTTTAGGTATCTTTCAAAACAGTTTCTGAAAATCTTATTGGGCGCATCTTCAAATCTTTCTGGGGAGTATGTTCAATCACAATATTCACATTTCTTGCTGAGATAATTTCAGAGTTGTTTAATTTAGTTAGCTGTGAAGATTTTCTATTCCTTACTCTTTGAATCGGGTATTATGCTTTTTAAATTTATTGATTCTAGATAGCTGTGGGTTGGCATTACAAGCCACTTACCAATAAGCCATTTTTATTAAGAGGCATGCATTTTAGTTTTTCTAGGATCATATTCCTTATTGCCTGCTATTGTCTATTTGTTTATATAGATTTTTATTTCCTGAGAATATCTTGAATCTGTAGTTACTAATATTTTATCTCACTTATTTCTTTTTTCTGACTAATTGGTATATTGCTCACTTATATAGTATTCTCCTCAACTATTATATTTGTTTGGCTTAAAGGTCTTGATGACTTTCTTTATAGTTTTCTTTTGTTAAGATTATCTGCATGAGAACTTTGCTATGAGTCTTACTAATATTAATCCTTAGTCTGTCTTTTAATGTTATCTTTCTAATAAGAGTTCAAGTTCATATCACTTTTCTTAAGAGAGCTTCTTCTTTTGAGAGAGCTCTACTTCTTAAACACTCCATCAATTTTATCTCGATACTCAGAACCTTCACTCTCCTACAAAGGTTATATATGGACAATTGAACATTGCTAAGTAAGGTTTTGCTATTAAACTTTATGCTATTGCAGCTACGACTAATTTCCCCTATGTTCCTCATTTACTTCACAATTAAAGTTAAATGAGCTCTTGTTCATTCCCCAGTTATACAAGCTTAGCCTCCTATTTACTTCCATCCTCCTTACTCCTCCTGAAATCAAAGATGCTTTTCTTTAATTGTAGTTAGTCTTTTGACTTTTTAAAGTAGTTAAGTTGGTATTTAAGTTTTTTCCTTAGAGTACATATGATTGAGATGCCTTTGATCTACTGTGAGAATTCTATTGTGGGAGTTATATGCAGGAGGAAATGTCCTTGATATCCTAATTTTATTTCAGAATAGATTATCTATTAGAGTCCTAGCTTCTATTGTCCTTAAGTATTTTATGCCCGATAAATGGCCTTACTCTATGTCTTCTTAGCTCATAAGCGTAATTAAACTAGGCTGGTCATTAATCTGTAGCAGTGTTTTAATCATTTGTTTTTTCTAAATATGGTTTATGATAATCTTCCGGGTCTTCATGATTCTCTCTGTAGATATCAGATATACTTCCATTAGAAGAGTCATCATTAAAACATAATCCCTTGCCTTAGTTGTGACAGCCACCATTAAGAATGCTGTCCACTTCATTAGAAATGTCGTCAGAAGCTTAATATTTTCGCAACATTTGATCCTGCTTATAGATAAATTTTAATTTTAAGTTAAATTCTATTATTTCTCTCTCTCCTAGAATACTATAATCTTGGGGTTTTGGGGTTTTGGGGTTTTGGGG